TATTCTTCTGATGAAATCCTTTTTTCTATTCTTTTAGTATAGTTTTAATATAATATATGTCATAAAATAATAAATCAAGCCTTCTGAAACATGGAGTCAGATCCTCGTCTCTTCCCTCATCCTTGGACCCCTGTAAACACGGTCACACCCCACTAAAAATCCAAGCTAAACCTGGATCCTGGTGACACCTTCCAGCAGCAATCTGCCTTTGCAGGGTGTGCTCACCCACGCTGTCCCCTGTGTGTGCCCTGCAGACATCCTGATCGTGAAGCTGCGCAAGGGGCAGGAGCTGCGGCTGCGCGCCTACGCCAAGAAGGGCTTTGGCAAGGAGCACGCCAAGTGGAACCCCACGGCCGGAGTGGCCTTCGAGTACGACCCTGACAACGCGCTCAGGCACACCGTGTACCCCAAGCCAGAGGAGTGGTATGTCCTGCTGTCTGTCTGTCTGCAGCTACTGGCAAGGGTTTTCCAGCAGGACACAACTTACATTTCAGCCCTGTAATTTGGCTCAGTAAGCGATGGGGAGCGTGCCTGCCACGTCCCCTTGTGCAGAGTCTGCTCCTGGGGTTGGCTAGTAAAGTCAGTCACTTGGCAGCTGCACACAAGGTGGAATGGTTTGTGGTCATCTTTGTCCTCCCTCATGTACCATCACTGCTGGTTTGCCTCACTTTCATGCCCTTTTTCATCACTTCTTGTTGATTTTGTTCCTTCCCTGTGCAAATGTTCTGTAGGTCAGAGTAAGGTCTGAGGAAGGAGCAGATCCATGTGAGATGAAAGAAGTTTCTATGAGAGTAAAGAGTGGAAGGTTGGTTTGCAAGACTGATTTTTCAGCCTGGCTTGAGGAAGCCCAGTATGGCTGTGATTTAACTCACACATCTCCTCACTTTTGGAGCCTGAGCTCTTGCAGGGTTTCCCTCTCTGGCCCTTTTCTCTCCTCTGAAATACCATTCTGCACAAGTTGCACACAGCTTCTCATCCAAAAGTGACATGATTTTACTTTTGTAAAGCTGCTGCCCTGCTTTGGCCTGGGTGAGGACTTTATCCAGCATGACTTTTCATGAATGCTGCTCACCTGGACTGCTCCTGGCTCAGTATCCCAGTGATCACCTAGCAGTGATCACTGTCACTAAGTGACATCCTGTCACTGAGCACTCTGGAGCCAGCAGCATAGTGAGGAGCCAGGTGCTTTAGGCAGGGCAGGCTGAGAGCAGGGACTGGGCAGGGTGGTGGATGTGCTGCTGTAAACATTGGTCAGTGGCAGGCTCACAAACCTGGTGTGGCATACAAAAAACAGGGCACCAGGAAACAATTTTTGAGAGGTCCTAGGCAAAATGTATGTAAAAGTTGGAAAAATCCCAAAAGAGGATTGATATTGGAGCTGCCAGTTCTTGATGATATGTCTGCCTTCTCAAGTTCATCTGACTCCCTGTGAAGACAATACAGAGCTAAAGCCTTCTGCTGCCCAAGGCCAGCTATGATTTTTGGTTTCGTTTTTCATGCTAGTTGCTTTTTGAGGCTGTTGGCAGAGCACTGGCATGCAGCTGGACTCTCCAAACAGCTGCCAGGGTCATGGAAACCTCTGCCCTGTTTTGGTCATGGGTGGTTCTGCAAGTGACAAGAAATCCCCCCTTCATTAACACTTCATCTCTCTCAGTGGTTTGTACAGGCAGAGGGTTTGTTTGAGAAATAGTTTTATTTCAGGCAGCTGATTACAGGGTGCTGGGATCAGTGTTCCTGGGCATTGCTGGGGCAGAGGAAGGCCAGCAGGAGACCTTGGTGGGTACAGGATTTTCTGTGCTGCCTTCTCAGACAGCTCAAGGCTTTGGGTTTTCTTACATGGATTAAGTGGTTCCACACAGTCTCTCTGGTGTGGTGCTCTATAAACCAAGGGATGCAGCAGGTGGAGAGATGTGTTTGTATAACTGATGCACAGGAATTGCAGTGATTTTGGTAGAGGAGTGGAGGTGCAGGACATCAGGATGGAGCTCCCTGATGCAGGTGCTGTCTGTTGTACAGGAGATTTTTTTCCTGGTGGCTCCAAGCCAAATGTGCCTCATGGACTTGAGTGCTGGAGTACTCCAGTGCTTTCCTGGCCCAGTGGGAAGTAGAAAGAAAAGATAACTCAAGGTCCATTACTCCATAAAAGCATGCAGGCTCCATAAACACAGTCCCTTCAGGAATTAATATCCCTTCACTGTAAGCACCTGCCAGATTGTACCAGTGTTGGTGGATGGAGCCACAGTACAGGGCTTGCTGAGTTTGGGCAGAGCAGGGCTGATCCCCTTCCAGTGCTGCTGGCTGACTCTGGGGCATTAATGAGGAGCCAGAAAACACAATGTGTGACTGAGCTTTTTTCTGTGACTTCATGTTGATGACCACCCTGTTGTGTGCTGCACGTGAGCCCCAGTGCTCACTCACTGGGGCCAGACTGAGTGCCTGGGCTCTGTGGGACCAGGCTGGGCTCTGTGTAACCTCTGTGTAACCTCTGTGTAACCTCTCCTGCTCTGTGTGTGTGGGGCCAGGCTGGAGCAGGCTCTGGTAACCTCTGTGTAACCTCTCCTGCTCTCTGATTGCAGGCCCAAGAGTGAGTACTCAGAGATCGACGATGAGGATGCTCAGGCTCCCTACGACCCCAATGGGAAGCCAGAGAGGTGGGAGCTCAATGCAGTGCTGCAGCTGGGAGAGGGGGTGACTGGCTGGGTGCATCTCATGGGCTCTCATTAATAAAGAGTGCCTACACTGTGCTGAAATTGCCAGCCCAGGGAGCTGACATTCCCTGAAAAGCAGGGCAGGAGTAGGCATTAAGTGGTGATATAGCTGGATGTGGCAGGTTTTCCCCTCTGGGAGATCCTAGACAGTTCTCCTGAGTTCATGTTGCTCAGTGAGGTGTGAGGCCTGTGGGGGAAATACCCTGGCTGAAGGTGTTCATTCACCTGTGTGTGTCTCATGCTCTGATTGCTGGTGTTATTTGCACTGCAAAAGTGCCTCAGCCAGCCTTAGTCCCTGGCTTGGGGGACTGAGTGCTGAACAGAAATCGAGCTCAGAAGTGCTCTTCCAACCTGTGAGGTTGTGAGTGTTGGTGTGGTGGTTGTAGAGGGGCAGCACTGGCTGTTGCCTGCTTGGGAGGTGAATGATGATGATGATGGTTGGGATTGCAGGCAGATCTCCCTGCTGTGGGTGTGGATGGGCTGGAATGATGTGCAGTCTGGGTTTGCACCTCCTTGCAGAGGTGATGGTGACACAACCCCCACCCTGTAACCTCAGGTTCTATTACAACGTGGAGTCCTGTGGCTCCTTGCGCCCCGAGACCATTGTCCTGTCTGCCCTGTCCGGCCTCAAGAAGAAACTGAGCGACCTCCAGACACAGCTGAGCCACGAGATCCAGAGTGATGTCCTCACTATCAACTGAGGTGGCCCTGGCTATAGAGTACTGAGCTGTGAGTGATGTCTGGCTGAGATCTGGGAGAGGCTTTTACCTCCCCAGCATCTCCTTCCTTTCCTGGCCCAGCACTTGGTTGGTGACGCCTCTTCCCTGGCCCTTCTTCCCAGGAAAAGCCATTGTGATGTGTAGGGTAAAACACGAAGGGAATTAGTGAGCATCTTAGCTGGGACAGGCTTTGTCTCTAAATGATCCTGGAGTTTTGGTTCTGCTGTTGGGTTTTGGCCACGTGGTGTTTGGGATTGGGAAGTGTGTACCTTTGTTACACAACCCTACCTTATTTACATGTCCATTCTTTACTGTGCTGAATAAAGCCTTACCCCCAAATTTTTCTGTCATCCCTGGAAGCTCATTCAAAGCTGCTGGAGGAGATGTCACATCATTTACTTCTCTCCAATAGACATTAACTTAATGAGATGTGCTTTGGAGGGAGCATTGCTCGCTGATGCTGATTGCTGCTTGTGACATTATCTCCTGAGGAGAGCAGCACCCTCCTGCAGGCAGCCTGTGGCTCATTGATCCAGGGCTGTGTGTAAAGCACATGTTTGAGGCTGGGGTGGGTGAGAGCTGCAGAAGGCAGCACTGCAGGGGAGCCCAGCTGGGCCAGGCAGGCAGAGCTGTACTTACAGAATCCTCTGGAACAGACTCCACCCCTGTGCTGTAGAACCCTTTTCTGGGAGCTGGGTGGCACATGGGCTGTCAGTAATGGCCCCTGGCTGATGCCTGCCTTTGTGCCCAGAGCCCCCAGTGTCTGCTGGGCTGGAGTTTTGTGCAGGTGCCATGCCCTGACCCCCCTGGCAGTGGCTGAAAGCAATGGCCTTTGTCACCCCTCCTCTTCCCCTCCATCACTGCCCAGCATGACTTGGGATGAGCTTGGTGACACTTTCTGGAGAGAGAGGGGAAGGTCTGTGTGCCCCCATGCTCATCCTGGTATGATGGGGATGGTTCAGGGGGTGGTGCTGGGGTCACACTGAGCTGGGGACAGCAGCCCATGCCAGCATTGCCTTCCCCTCCAGGCAAAAGCTGCTGCAGCCAGGCTGCTGCTTCCATTTCCTTGCCATGGCAGAGCTGGCTGCAGCATGGCTCTATGTCCCCATCCCTGGAGGGATCACTGTGCTGGCTGGCATGGCTGTCTGACCTTGAGGCCAGTGCTGCCAGGCAGTCATGGCATGGATAGCTTACCTGGCACAGCTCTGGGAGAGCTGGGAGATGGTGTGCCTTGAAACTGCTTCACCTGGGGACTTGGAGCCACCACTGGCCTGGCACATCCCCAGAGCCACGGGCAGCTGGAGGTCAGGGTGACAGGGGGGTGCTGCATCCTGTCCCACCCAGGGATGTTTGATGGAGAGTGGCAACTCCCTTTACCCTTCTTCCTATCCCAGCGGTTTTAGGGCTTCACTTGAAATGTCTTGGCCATGGCTGGAGGCAGAACAAAGCCCTGAGCCAAGCATGCTGCCAGGAACCTCAGGAAATCTCCCCATCAGCATTTTTCTCTCTGGCAGGCACAACTCCCACTCGCGCTTCCCAAGCGCGCTTGGATGGAACAGACAAACAGGAAGGGTGGATGTGGATAAGGGTTGTTTATTCATTGAGCAACTCCTTAAAAAACAGAAAACCCAAACGTTTTTGGTAACAAATGTTAAATCTTTTCCAGATGAGGTGTGTAGCCAGGAAAAGAGGGCAAGTTCCACCTCTCACCCCAGGGAGGACACACTGCTGGGCAGTGCTGGGGTCCAGAGCCCCTCTGTGCACAGCCATGCTGTGAGGAACAGCCTTTCCCTGTCCCCATGTCCCCTCTGCCACAAGCTACACCACCCTGAAACACAGTATTTACAGACCACAGATTCCCACATCACAACACTCCCTGTGCCCAACACATGGACCTGGAGCTTTAAAGGGCAGAAATAAAAACCACCAAGCATCCAACCCAGACGGAAAGAAGACTCCAAAGAAACACCAAGGTTTGCACGGCAATAAAAAGATAGCCCTTCTAAAGGAGGTCAATAAATAGGAGAACTAGAAAAAATCAATTGCTTTTTAAGTTCAGCACATAAAGCCCAGTTCCACCCCCAGTGGGTGAGGAGGAAGTGAGGGCTGTGGGAATGCACAGAGGAATGTGGCTCTCTCCCCATCAGCATGGGTTTCTCTGCCCTTGGGCTTCTCATATCCACAAAGCTGCCCCTTGAGAGACAGATGCTACTGGCCAAAACCAGTCCCATGGTTGCCCACCAGCAGATAAACCAGGGGCATGGCAGGGGGACACAGCTGTGGGAGGAGGGAGGGATGTGGGGTGGGAGAAGCCAGGGAGCTCGGCTCTGCCTGGCCGCTCACCCCAGCCAACCCCCCTGGAAGGAAAACCAGTTTCTCCTGAGACATATCAATTCTACAGCGAGCATTTAAATAACTTTAAGAAGTGCAAAAATCAGCTCAGGGATGGCAGGGTGTCCTCAGAAGCACCCTGCTCTTCATGGAGGGGTGGGACCCTGCACCATCAGCCTGGCACAGCTGCATCCTCCGACGCTGCTCCATGGCCATGGCAGAGTGATGCTCCACGCAGAAAGCTCCGAATTTCTTGACCCCCCCACCCCACCTCTCTTCACCTCCCAGTTGGATCCCTAAGAGTCAAAAACCTCTGGGCATCTGCCCAAGGGCTCTTCAGCAGCCACCACATTTGCATTCATGTGAGAAGGAAATATCTCTTACAATACAGGTATTCAATATATATTTGAAGTCAGTTGAGGCTGAGCCAGCCATCGCCTCCACTAACGCCAGCCCAGGGCGTGAGCCAGTGCCTGCTTCCCAAGGCCTTGGCACTGAGCTGCCCCAGCTCGGGCTCCTGGGGATTCTGAGGGGTCACTGCCTGCGTCCTTGCCACCCCTTGGAGAAGAAAAAGGGGACCCCTGCCACAGTCCCCCCGCACCAGCTCATGGGGACGATGTGGGCTCCCTGTCTTCAGGCTTGTCGCTTTTGGAGGACTTTGGCTTCAGCAAGATGAACCTGTTGAGGAGGTCGGTGTCCGAGCTGGCCTGGGCGCCCGCATACGCCTCCCCTGGGGACAAAACAGAGGCTGGGCTCACCTGGTGGGGAAAGCTCTGGGGGCTGTAGGAGCAGCATCTCCTCAGTGTGGGGTGGGGACACTCACCAGCATAGCTGGAGGACTCGGCCATGTTCTGGGAGCCGGTGATGTGGTGCCAGTAGGCGCTGCGGGGCAGCATGGTCGTGGGCGTGCAGGGGTAGGAGAAGTGCTCAGTGCCCTTGTTCAGCAGCTGCAGTGGACGGGGGGGAGGAGGGTGATACAGAGCCCCCAGAATCTCCCCCAGCCGTGTCCCCCCTCAGCATGGGCTGGAGCTCACCCTGACGTTCTTCTCCATCTCCAGCAGGACCCTCTTGTGCTGCTCAGCGATGGCCAATGTGGCGCTGTGCACACGCTGGTAGATCTGCTCACCCTCCTGCGTCTGGAAGGTGTATAGACCTTCTCCTGCATCACACATCCTGTGGGGACAGGGCACAGAATGTCACCAAGGTCGTCAAGCCAAGGCATGATCAACAAAACCCACCCAGATAACAGCTGGGGCAGCTTCCCATACTGTTAAAGCTGTGCCTAGGTGCTGATCTGGGACCAGAACCAGCTCCAAGCCCTGCCTGCCATGGGCACACTGCACAGCCATGGTCATCACCCCTGTGGTGATGCCAGCAGGGCCACGGCCCAGCTGGAGGAGGGCACAGAGCTGTGATCCTGTCCTGGCAAGGGTGACACCTCACCGTCCAGCCTCGAAGGTGAAGCGGGTGGCGTCGCGGCCGTAGCGGCGCAGGGAGCAGAGGGGCCAGGAGAGCAGCTTCACCCGCGGGTTGTGCGTGTCCCAGAGGTAGATGTTTTCGTGGGTGATCTGCAGCTTGCACTCGCCATAGACGTCCAGGTTGGGGCAGGGGAGGAGGAACACGTTGAACCGGTCTGGAAAGGGGAAAAAAAAAAGAAAATAAAATAATCAGCG